ATGGATAGATAGATAGATAGATAGATAGATAGATAGATAGATAGATAGATAGATAGATAGATAGATAGATAGATAGATAGATAGATAGATAGATAGATAGATAGATAGATAGATAGATAGATAGATAGATAGATAGATAGATAGATAGATAGATTCTGCTCCATCCACAACTAGCCTGGAAAACTCTTCTCTTTTCGGCTTAAAAAATAAGAAATAATCTCATAATTATCTCCAAAATGAATCATTTTTAATTTTAGCTCTGGTGTCGAAATAAGGATGCTCATAGGCGAATGGAGAGCACTGCGTGGAATAGTTTTCAACCTTCTTCAACATGTGTTGACAAAACAAAACAAAAAAAGAAAGCATTAAATTTGAGTCTGCTTCTGCTTTTTCCAAAGCTAAATGCAGCTGATTTCTTGGCACTTGGCAGGCAACCAGAACAGAGTTCGACGACCATCAGTATTATTTTGATTCTCAGCCATCAGTGGTAACCTCCACCAACAATTTTTTTTTTAAAAATACTTAATTAATTAATTAACTTGTGTCCTATGTGTTGTGTTGTGTTATTTTTGTTATTTTGACTTCAAAATGGCGCCGCGAGAGTGGCTGCCTTTCCAGCAGCTCCTATATTTTGTTGTTCTACTTCTTCCTTTCATAACTTTGCTGCTGTGAATTGGGAATTTCTCCATTGCGAGACTAATAAAGGTTTTCTTATCTTATCTTATCTTATCTTAATAATAAAAATAATAATAATTGCATCATCTTTGTATGTCCGAGTGGAGCTCAGTCTAGTTGCTGAAAGTTTTTTTGACATACACACGGGTACATTTCTTGCAATTTTTTTTTTCAACCAAATCATCTTTAAGCTATTTATTTTTAGGGTAATGGTGTAGGTTGAGTTTCAGTGCTCATAGTTTCTGGTATATTTACAATTTAAACTATTAAAATCTACAGTTACCTGGACAAAAACATTTTTTCGGGGTGGTGCCGGTTACCGACGGTTTTTAATTTTACTTGTGGCAGGGCTCTGTCCGTACATTTATTAAATTACATGTAGAACTTAGCATCAGCAGCAAGCTATACTATACGTTCATCCCTGCGCTGTTGTAGTCTGTTTTTTTTTTTTTTCCCCCTGCATCGTGTCGTCTCATGGCCTTCGTGGCTGGCAGCGGAATCACAGTTCGTGGTGAGGCGGCTGCAGCCGTGAACAAGGAGGCCATCCATTAAGCGTTAATGGATTCACTTTCACAAAAGGACCTTAAACCCACGTTGGCGTGTCGCGGTGGTAAAAATAGAAACGGGGCAGAATGGCCGGGAGGGGGGCATGGGGGAACAAGATTGCACTCATATCTGTCGCAGGAACTCGACCGCCCACTTCACTTCTCCCCCTATGGTGAGGAGGAAAAAAGCTACGGATTCCCCCTGCGACCCAAAAAAAACCCCACTCCACAAAAACCGTGATTACATCTGCACTTATCGTTATTAGTCTCCGCGCGTCACAACCTGAAGACTGTAATACCACTGGAAATCCAACATTACATAAGGAGCCACGCATCACTTGGCCCCCAATCTGAACTATGTTGGAGAATTACACAGCTTTCGAATCCCCCCCCCCCAAAAAAAATAACAGCTGACCTGTATCATTCCATAGACTTTCCTAAAATAACCCCAAAATTTCTTTGGGCACTAACTCAACAAAAGAAAAATCTCTCCAGATATGTCCAACAATAGACGTGTTATTGGATGTAAGATTTTCCACATTGCCAAGACTCATGGCACCAGACACCTCCCCACCTCAAAAAAAAAAAAAAAAAAAAATTAAAGAGTGAAATCTCTGGGATGCAATTTTGTTATGAAACCTTTGTGATTTGGGACTTATTTTCTCGATCGTCCACTCAGCTACATTGTCATACTATTTTCTGTCCTTCCTTATTTGTTTGAAATGGGTCAAATTAAACCCTTTCTAAAGTAGGACAGTGTAGGTTTGTGTCACCGCTTCTCGTCCCGCCCTCAACAATCACACGGTGGGTGTCTGATTATCACCCAGAAAAGACGAGGTGAGGTATTAGGCTTTAAGTTTAAGTATGCACAATAATTCCCTCCCCCTGCATTTGTTTTTGTCTTATTTTTTTTCTCATGAAGATTATTTCTTTCTCATCACTCTGACGTACTGTAAATAAATTTGGGGTTGCATAAGAAATGAGGGGCTATTACACAAGATCCGTCTCAACGGGTAAACTAGCGAAAACAAAACAGCATTCTCTCATCAGAGCGTTTTTGGAGCCTGAAATATTTGGAAAAGGGTCTCAAAGTTGAAATTAGAGATAACAACTCAACTGAAATGTATTCACAGAGCACTTTAAAAACAACCACCTGCTGCATACAAAGTACTGTACATAAAGTAAAAATCAGACATAAGAAAACAATGAAATTTATGCTAAATGGACCTTCACTTACATCGCGCTTTTCTACCTCAGGTACTCAAAACGCTTTACACAGTTTCCTCATTTACCTACTGATGACGCAGCATTAGGAGCAAGTGCGCGTTCATTATCTTGCTCAAGGAGAGTTCGACATGGTCGCAATGGCCAGGGATTGAACGCCCACCTTCAGGGTTGGGAGACGACCACTCACTGAGCCATGCCGCCTCCACTTAAAATTTGAAAGGTATGAAATCAGCTCAAGTGAATCTTAAAATGAACTCCACAGGGAGGCCAGAATTGGAGTTATGTGCTCCCTCTTACACACTCCAGTTAGGAGGTAAGCAGCAGCATTTTGGACCAACTGGAGACGCTTGAAGAGAGGACTGGCGAACTCCAAAATAAAATGCTTTACAGTAATCGAGCGAGATGTAACGAAGGCATTGATTATTGTTTCTGAGTGCTGCTGCGAAAGGAAGGGCTTTACCTTAGGCAACAGCCGAAGGGACCAAACATGATAATCTTTCTGTTGTCTTTTCATAGACGTTCAAGTAGTTTAGTGCCAGCTAGGCTTTGATTTCCTCCAGACAGAACAAAAGTGGCCTTTAGGGGAAAGCATCAATTTTGCTCAGCGGGACATAGATCCGACTGCCTTCCGTATAGCAGCAAAAGGTAATACCATGCTTCCTTAAGATGGAACCCAGGGGCCACATATCCAATGAAAACAGGAAACCATCCGAGTCAAAGTTAGTGAATACTGTACAGCAAAATAGTGGACTTGATGTTTTCCCACTTCTACCGACCCGCCTGTTGTTTTCTGCAAGGCATCAATGTCGTTGATGCCGAAATGTATGATTGGCGATGATTTGACCTCAATCTAGAACCATCATTGCGGTGTGGTAAATCGAGACATGACAAGTCCGATTAACCGCTAGCTATGAGTGAGCTGTAGATACGCTTCTGCTTGATTGAAGTGGGGGGTGGGGGGATCACCGATGTGCCTTTAGACACTTCTTGAATGCTACCAGCCGACAAACACACACATACAAAATGCAAATATTCACAAGGAGCATGAGCGCAGATGCTAACATTGAACTAACCGCACGGATGCAGCTCCGGACGTGACTCGCGAGGGCCGCGCTCCTTGAAGGCACAACATAAATATACTACGGTATCTGCATGTGACTTTTGGCTTGATTATCCAGTGAACCTCTGCCTGTTGGCAGAAAATAGCGAAAATCCACAAATAACGAACGCCCTCCGAAAAGAGGTTTGTAAGATTTCTGCAAAGCAAGTAAAGCGAAAACCTTTATTCCGTTTGGATTGATTTGCTATATTGACAGCAGTCTGTCACAGCACGGATAAAGAATCATCAGCAAATCATTAACACCATGCATAAAGCATGTACACAATTACGACCCAGTGTTACATAAATGACTGCATTTAGTAGTTATAATATTCAGCACAAACAAACCATCTGCATATGTGGCAGGTCAAAGCTAGCAAACTAGCCCGAAGTAACCCCTGAGCAAAAACTTTCTGGCATCACACATGGCGCAAACAAATCACTTTCCTTAAACTGTATAAGTCATTAAAGACACATTTGAGCAATTAGTAGCCACATTGTCAGAATAGCAAAAACATAGTTTCTATTTAACTTTGTGCAGAAAATGCAGTCATGGACGACAAACAGAAAAAGGCCATCGCAAACGTAGAGTAAAAAACACAATCAATTAATTAAACCCGACAACACCGGTTGTCCATGAGAGGGCGCCCCAGTAACACTTGTATTGTTTTGGCTTGCTTTCAAAAACAGAAAATAAGTGAGGGTTTTTTTTCAGCAAAAAAGGTAGAAGGGGGTCCAGGGGGGATTTGCAAATAGGCGCATTTGCAAACAAGTTTATGTCATTACATTCCGCTTTATATTTTATGATCTTTGCTTTTTACATTTTACACTGCAATTTTATTTGAGGCATTTGACAAAAATAATTTGGGGTGTTTTTAGAGCTGGAACGGATTGATGGCATTTCAATTCATTTCATGAAAAAATCAATCATACAAGTTAAATGAGTTACGAGCTTGCGTGGAATGAATTAAACTTGCAAGACAAGGTGTAATTCAGAACTTCATTTCAACACAGACGCAGTTGGGCATTAATGATATGTTTGAACTCGCTTTGGGCCCCGTATTTGTAGTACAAAAAAATACTCGGAGAGTCTTGAGGGCAGGGGTGGGTGGCCAACTGCTCGCGGGTTTAAAAACAGATAAAACCTCAGTGGCAACTCTTAGTCCAAGCCCAGCAAACACGAAAGAATAGCTGAGCGGTACCTTGATTTTGATTAGAATTAGGTTAGTCCAGCCACCAGGAAAATGCATGAAAGGACACCCTGCACAAAAGTCAAATAAGTCATTTCTCAACGACTTCACATGAAGCGTTTCCTGCATCTTAGAGTGTAAGTGCAGCGCAAGGAAGTGGAGTCCAAATCCTCTTAAAGTCACTTTGCCCCCTCTATTATTCTATTGTGTTTGCATCAGTCACGCTACGGGTCACATGTTTTTTTTTCTTCTTCTTCTTCTTACCGTTTTGAGCCGTGACGAAGGGCGGCATCAAGTTGCCCAGAAGGACCAGGAGCAGCATCACTGCACCAGGACGCATCCCGTCGTGGTCTCGCTCCAAAAAAAAAATGCAAAGGGTGGGTGATGGAAGGGTGGGGGAGTGGGAAATGAATGATCTTGTGTCGATCACAAGCTCGACTAATGATAATAATGATGATGGTGGAGGTGAAGAGACGAGCGCAGCATGGCAGCAGATTCCTCGATTTGGCGTTGGACAGGGCGGAAAAACAAAAGCCGATGCGTGGTTCTATTGGAGGGAGGGAAAGAAAAAAAGGGAGCGCGATGGATGGTGCGGGAGCGGCCGACGGCTCTCAGGGATGCCGATGTGCGGCCATCGGCGGCGGAAAAGCCTCGTCGGATTGCAGAGGAGGATGGAGGGAGTGCGGGAGGGGGTGTCAGAGAGATTGTCCACAGCGTCGTTGGGAAGATTCAAAGATGCGCAAGCTGATGCGCATTGGCTCACCTCACTCCTGAGGACTTTTAAAAGGGCGCGTAATTACGCACGGACGCTGACGATTCCAATATCCACCGCCTCCCAGGTTGTTGGTTATTTCACGCGGCGTGTAAGGTGCACATCTCCCTTCTCTTTCTCCTTCATTTGATCGTGTTGCATTTTAGAGGAAGTGCGCGCCGGCGACCACGTGACTTCCTCTACTTATGGCCCCACTGTCTCTCGTGCAATATTAATGCTGCAATTCGGTCGACGGAGACGATGATGGCCTTCACCGAGACGCTTGCGTCCTTCCCAGTCGGCTGCCTTAATGATGATCATTATATCAGACGGAAAGGCGATTTTTTTTTAATGTACGTTATTATTTATTTTATGTCATCGCTAATCGAATGGTTGTGCGTACACGCATATCCCCTTGAAAAGTTCAACATGGCCTCCTTGTTAATCCCCTCTTGTCTGCCCCTGTTATTGAATCTGCGCTGCTGCAAGTGCGACCTCATGTGGACAGTTTAGCGAAGTGTCCACAGAAACAACCTTGATCAATTCTGATGGGAACGCGGTGCGCCAAATACATCCAAAAATAGATCGTGATTCTATTCCCATTCATTTGGATGGAATAAAATGACTTATTTGCCTCTCGGCATCAGGGTCATAAATGTTTGATTTTTTTTTTAATTACAGTTAGTTTTTATTTTGCCTTGACTATGTTTTCAGTTAGTTTTGATTCATTTTTAGAGCAGGTTGGTTAGTTTTTATTTTTTTCAAAAATGTGTTAATAAATGTTAGTCTTATTTTTTGTTTTTATTTCAATTTTTTACGTTTTATTTTGTAGTTGTTTCTTCAATTTTCAATAACTACAGTGGCCTTGATTAGAACAAAATTAATTTGTGAAATGAGGATCAACGCTTTTGAAGCAAACCAATTTTTAAGGCGGCTGTGAGTCAATTGCATCCTTCATTGAAGAGACGAGACTCTGAGATGTGATCGCCGTTGTCTTTGCGCTCCACTTTGCAGCCCTCCCTCCAGTTTGTTTAAAAAGTAACCCCACCTGAAACCTGGCCCCGGCCAATGAGCAGTGGAGATGTCAGCGCCTCCTTTGTTCGAAACCAATGAGAGTGGAAGTGCGGCATGTTCCCCGAGGGGGAGAACTTAGGGCTGCCTGCGTTAATCACGCATCACTTAGCCGTTGCCAATGTGTTCACAACACAAGACCCTCTTTGAGGCTTTTCACTGCAACTCCATTTCTTGGACCCATCTAGTATGGAAAGTCAACAACAATGGCTTACCAGGCTCAAAGATGAACTTAGCAACAGTCCGCTGGTCTCTAACGTGGCATTCGGCTTCATCCTCATGGGACTGGAGAAGCTGGTGGAATTGGAGTTCGAGTGTCCGTGCAACCCGACATGGAACGGCGTGTTTTCGTCTGCCTTCTTCATTATCCCGGCCGTCATGGCCTTCACCTTGATGCTCATCATCCAGGGGTGCCGCTGTGACGAGTGGTGTCGCCGGAGCGTGTCGCTCTCCAGCGTGGTGCCCGCCGTCGTCTGGCTCATTTTGCTCTTCCTGGATGGTCAGTACTTCGCCTGCGCTATGACAGACTGGGAGGGTAGATTTGTGCTGGTGGACAGGGCGGCCCCGCAAAAGTGGTGCGAGCCAATAACTGATGGAGGTGTCCCCCAGCAGGAGCTCATGCTGCGTTCGCAGCAGCTCTTTGTTTTCTCTCAGGTGAGTGGACAAAGGCCTTTGTTTACTGAATTTCGTGCATGTTTACTCCGTACAATCACCCCTCTAGTCAGGAATTAACTCTTTGTTTTTTTCACAGTAATATCGAACTTATTGTGTTTGATTTTATGGTGTTCCACATGGCTCTGTTTTGGGGCCCCTGCTGTTTTAACTGTATTTGCTATTCTGCAGTTCCATCCAAGGAAAACATGGTATTTCATTCCACTGCTATGTGGATGTCACATTTATGTCCCGCTGAGTAAAAAGGATGCAGGCTATTTAAGACCACGTTTGTCCTGTCTAGAGGAACAGGACAAAAAGAAAACAAAAGTTATGGTTTTTGCTCCCGGTGGCTAAACCTCTTACCTGATTTATGTTTAGCATAAGTATATAAGTCGCTGCAAGGTCAGTAGACCTTGTTTGTACACCGCAATCCGTGCGCATTTACTCTGTACAATCTCTCCTCTTCTTGAGTCTTGATGATTCCCATGCAGTGTTTATTGCAGTATGGTTGAAAATATTGCCACAACGGCGAGACTCACATGCCACTCGATTATGTATTTCGTGTCGCAGGTTCTAGGTATCATCCTGCTCATTGTCATCTGCGTGGGTCTTGTCGTGTACGTCATCAGGCAAAGCTGCCAACAAGAAGTGGAGGAGCTGCAAGATGCCGACGTCGCCGAGCTCACCGTCCTTAGGATGAGCTCTCTGCGGACCAGGACGTCTTGAGGTGCTTTGTAACAAACTGACCACGCACTGACACTCACCCTGCCTGAAAATGATCCCTCCCCAATTATGTAAAAAAAAAAAAAAATTCTGAACTTGATTTATATCCAACCATGTTCTGTTTCAACATTGTTTTATTGTTGTTTTGTAATAAAATAAATTATTTTTGTATTCCACAGCCATCAAGGATTTTGTGCACATACTGTACGTGAGTTTCAATTTGGAAATGCATGACTTTTTTTTTCTTTTTGAGGGGAGGTCAATTTTGCAAATAGGAGGTGCACGAAATATATGGTAAGCTAAATAATTATGAGAGTGGTTGGTAAATGTGTGGGCATTTAAATTACAACAGGTATTTTGCACAGAGAAATACAAATGAATGGTGGAGCAAAAGTCCCTCTGTACTCCCTCTCCTGTTTGCTGATAAGGGAAAAATTCACTAACATCATCCGTCACTGCTGCACAAGCTACAAAGGCGAGTAAGTTACATCAGCTTCATATATGTGAAGAAATGGTCAAACATTAACTCAACTTTATTTTGGTTATGCATTTAGTTGAGCAGACAATAAAGAAAGAGACGATAAGGAGACGAATTTGGGACCCTTGAGAAATTATGGGATTGTGAATGTGTTCGTACAGCAAACAAGTACTGGCTGGACAATGAGCGCAAAGCAGCAAATGTGCAAATATGTGTTGTGACTGAGCAAGATTGTATGACCTGCTCAAAGCGATGACTTGGCTTGCTTCGCTTTAACTACACTAATGATGGACCGATATGAATTTTAAGTCTTGAGTCTTAGATGTGACGGTACTTAGGACTTGCACAAACAGTGTATGACTTTATTCACTCCGGCAGTTCGGTGGATTACGCCAAATGTACAAAAGCAATTTCCGCAAGACTTAAATGTTACAGACTAGACTTATGATCAGGTGAAATGTGCGGCTCATTGGTACTCAAGTAACTTTTACGTAACTTTAATCATGTTTACTTTTTCTTTGCAGGCAGACTTTAGAACAAAGACAGCCAAAAAAGGTGCTCAGAGCACCGAGAATAAGCAGCACGACAGAAGATAAGCAAAGGAGCACGTCCACAGAGTAGTAGACAAACCAGGGCAGCTGGTAGGAATCGGTCCTCAGGTGAGCTGCGCCCTTATGCCTCATGACAAACTCAATCCAGAAGAGGGCGTTGTCGAGCGGCGGGATGGGCTGATCTCTGTGCAGCCTGGACAGCCTTTGCATGTTTTTCTTATAGGACGGATCAGACAGGACTTCCTGTACGCCCTGGAAAAAGATATCATGATCCATGGTGAATATATCCACGCTTTTCCCTGCTCCTCTCATTCCGATCCTGAGCAGATTATCCCGTTGATCGAAAATGAGCGGTAGCCCGAGGATTGGAACTCCGTGGTAAATGGCTTCCTGGACGCCGTTTGTCCCGCCGTGAGCAACAAAGAGTTTGATCTTGGGATGTCCCAGAAGGTCGTTCTGCGGCATCCAGTCTACCAGGAGAGTGTTGTTTCCCAAAGTGGAAGGTTTTGCCCCTTTATACCTCCAGATGACCTTCTGGGGGAGCTTGGCAAAAGCCGCGGCAATTTCGTCAGCTAGGTCGCTGGGGAGTTCCCCAATGAGAGTCCCCAGGGACATGATGATGACTCCGTGATCTCCAGAACTCTGGACGAACTCCTCCAGGTGCGCCGGTAGAGGCTTGGCAGGTTTACACTGGAAGCCCCCAATGTAGATGACGTTGGGCATGGTGGGGCGAGGAAACTCAAAGACAAAATCCACTCTCATGAGCCACAGGTCTGCTGCCTGGAACAGTGACTGGTAGTTTTCACCAGGGCTTAAATACTTCTTAATCAGGCTTTCATAATGCGGTTTTATATACTTTGATATTTGATATTCCCCAAAGAGCAACACCAAAGTGTTCAGAACTCGTTCAGAAAAGCTCATCTTGTCAGAAAATTCCGTTCCCGTCATGGGCACATACGACAGAGGGGACGGCGCGATCGCTAAATGGCCCTCGCCGTGGCTGGTCCATCTCACGTTAAAAACGAGTGGTAGCTTCAGACAGTGGGCGAGAATAACACCGCCTGGTACTCCCGGATCCGTCAGAACAAGGTCATACTTGGCACTTTGGAGCGACTCCACCAAGGTTTTATTTTCAAAAATCCACTCGAGCAATTTGGCTGTTTTTTCGTGCATCTGTGAGGCCTTTTCACCTTGCTCCATTTCCAGTTTGAAACGAGTCCAGGCGGACTTCCCTTCCCGCTGGATGTGCAGCAACTGCTCCACAAACTTCACAATGAAGTCTTTGCTGAAGCCTGACTCCACGTCAAGCGTGATGGCGTTGTAGAACGGGGACTTTTCCTTGATGTACCAGCTGTCGTCCGTTCGCACCACATCAACCCGGTGGCCTCTCGAGTGCAGTCCCTCGATAATGACTTTCATGTTCACCCAGTGGCTTCCATCCAGTGGAAAAACGAGCACCTTGCCGCCATATGCGGAAGTCGCACATAGAGCGGAAAACAAGAGGCCAACCCACAAGCGTAGCATCTTCACTCTACAATTAGGAAGACAGAAACTTTCCTTAAGACACCTTCTGAACAAATCCGTTTGGTCTGGGATTCGCACGCTTTTTTTTTCCAAATAGATGATCTCGCTTAAATTGAGAAAAGTGCAGTGTTTTCATTCCTTTCGCTAGGAATTAAAATACTTGCCCAAGTTTTTTTTTTTTTTTTAATCAGAGGGATCCTTTTTTCCCCCAATACTGGTTACAAATATGACTTGCTTAAACATGAGGAAAATTTTATACTATGGAACAATATATGTCATGTCCCTTTAATTGGCTCTGTTAACTATTAAAAAATTGTAACTTTGATCTCAATTGTTCTACCAATCACTACGGCACTTGTCACAGGCCTAGATAGAGTAATTGATGAAGAGAAATGTTCCACCCAAAGGAGCCAAGGCACAGTGGGTGTGAATCACAGAACCAACTACATGCAAAAACCTCCACAGAAACACCGAAACTCAAACGTTTATAAAACTTCAATCTTTCATAATCATTTAGAACACAATATATACATGAATGCATCATGACCTTTAGCGTAACATGACAGAAGTATGACACACTCACATGCACATGACACGCACACACTCACGCGCACACCTGCGTGTGCATCAATTTAAGAAGTGGCTCGTACAAAAGATCAATATTACCTCATTTGACATCAAATGTAGTTCGTCTGTCAAGAGATTCCCTTCTACTGAGGAGGACTTGTTAGTCCTTGCGGTTCCAGCCCAGGCAGGACTTTGACATTGTAGTCTCATGCTCTTTAACACTCGGGTGCAGATAAGGATAGGTCAAAGGGGAAAACTCGCTTGTAAAGTTGAACTGCTGCACATTCTATAGTGGTGCTTGGAATGCTTCGGTATGTCATTCGAAAAACTGCCAGATTGGGATGTGTCGGAGGCTGTAAAATGAGATCCCTGCCCAGTGTGAAATATTTTCTTAAGTGGTGTACATACATATTGATTTTTATCATTTTTAACATCTGGCGCTATGCTGGCTATTTGTGTCCATCTCACTTGCTGACCGTGTCAGATGGGTTGAAAAAGTGGCCCGGCCTGACCAGGGCCGTAATATTCGGATATTATCTAAAACACAGGAAGGCCAGAACCGGAATTGAACCTCAGATCTGTGAGGCGGACACGCTAAGCAGTCAACCGCCCGAGTGTCTGTTGCAGTTTGAGCTGTTGATCTCTGTTAAGTCTTTGGAGACGTTTCCGGGGTTTCCTTCTTAACAGGCTCTCAGAAGTACTTCCTTTTGCTGCTTTGAAACGTTCCCGTCTATTGTTTCAACATCCACTAACTTTTGCTACACCCTTTCGCTTTGAGAGGCTGCCAATGTGATTGAACACAATCGTAAATGCTAACAATCGGATACCTAGTGTGTTGCCCCACAGTGTATGGATTTTTTTTCTGGCTTACACTGTCCAGTTTATGGAATCAAAACCCTCGACCATGAATCCAACCCATTTCACATCAAATACAAAGTCGCAGCACAAAATTTGTAAACAAGACTTCCTGCTAAGTTGAATGAAACTAAAGGCTAAGCCATATAAAGGGAACAACAACAGTCTCCTCAGGGGGACTTGTAAAATTTTCTGGACTCCACCCTTGGCTGACAATATCCACACAGTATTCACGCCTCAAATTCTCCAAAATGCAATCTTTGTCCGTTTGAAGGGTTTCATAACCTGAGCGGCAGCATGTTGCATGGTTTTGAACTTTTGGGTCCAAATCTCGGCTCTGGTCTTTCTCTGTGGAGTTTGCATGTTTTATCCGTGCTTGCAATTGATTTCTCTCAGTGCTCTGCTTTTTTCCTAATCCCCAAAACATGCATGTTAGGTGATTGGTTTCAAGCGGGCTTTAGCAGAAGCATAATTAAGATAACTTGCAGTAAATTGGGGTTTTTTTTCTCCGTTTTGTTTTTCAAAGTAGAGCCTCAGAACTGTGAGGCGAATGTGCTAGCTATCCCGCTGAGGACTACTCAAAGTTAAAGGAATACACAATTCACTTGTACATTTCGTTTTATTAACAATGAACTTTTTACACTTGTATGATAACTGCTCATGTTAAAATGTGTCTGAGAACATGACCGTTAAGAAATCAGAGGTTGCCCATTTAGCTCATCAATTCACGAGCACTTTTTAAAACCATGTAGACAACAGTAAAGTGCAATGAATCGTAAGTCGTCTTACGTCCATTTAGCGTTTTTGAGTTGTACTACAAGCAGATTAGTGGTCACAACGATTATAATGTGGAAATCAAATACCCCATGGCGACCAGCAGAAATCATTTCTTAACTCCAGATTGGAGTTTGAGGCTTTTTTTTTTTTAGGGGGAGACGTTCTCAAGAAACTTTGGGGAAAAATATGAAACAACATTAACGGTACATTACACTTCATGTCAAGTGGAAGTGGTGTTTGACACCAAGTAAAAAGGACTATTATGAGGGAACATGCAGGAAGAACTGATGCACATAAAGTTGTGGAGTGACCATGTCAGCATCAAGGGAAATGCTACTTGTCATCAAAGACAACATCTCCACATCAGGTAAAATCACCTTCATTAATATTGCACAGGGGGTTTACAACACACAAACAAATACAAAACACTTTAAAATTATAAACTTCCGTCACTGTTAAAAGTGATCCGGACCTTTCTCTGTATCATCTTAAGAAGTTTACCTTCGCAAGGAAGTGAGTTCGTGAATGGTGAATCATGAATAGGTGACTCACCGGACATATATGTCAAAACTGTGTCATTTATTTACTCGCGTTTCATTTTCCTCTTACATAAAGCAGAGCACAAACATTTGATGGTGATCATAAAAATTAAAAGCAGAGCCAGCACAGCCCCAGACAGGAACAGATAGACATCCACATTGTAGTAAGTGTACCAGGGCATCTTGTAGGACTCGGTCCTGAGGTGGGCCATGCCTTTGTGCCGTATGACAAATTCAATCCAGAAGAGGGCGTTCTCGAGCGGCGTGATGGGCTGATCTCTGTGCAGCCTAGAGAGCCTCTGCATGTTGTCCCTGTAGGATGGATTAGCAAGAACTTTCTGTATGGCCTTCAGGAAGTTCTCATCTTTATCCACTGAGGCTAACGTGACCACCACTGCCGCCCCTCTCTCTGTGAGACGCACCAGGTTGTCATACTGGTCGAAAAACAAGGGTATTCCCACCACGGGAATTCCGTGGTAAATTGCTTCCTGGAGGCCGTTTGTTCCGCCATGAGCCACGAAGAGTTTCATCCTGGGATGTCCGAGCAGATCGTTCTGCGGCATCCAGTCCACCAGGAGAGTGTTGTTGCCCAGAGTGGAAGGTGGAGTGCCTTTATACCTCCAGATCACCTTCTGGGGGAGCTTGGCGAAAGTCGCGGCGATTTCATCGGCCAAGTCTGCGACGAGTTCATTCACAAAGGTACCCAGGGACATGAGGATGACTCCGTGCTCTCCAGAACTCTGGACGAACTTTTCCAGGTGGTCTGGTAAAGGCTTAGCAGGTTTACACTGAAAACCCCCCATGTAGATGAAGTTGGGCATGGTGGGGCGTGGAAACTCAAAGACAAAGTCCACTCTCATGAGCCACAGATCAGCGGAAAGAAGCAAATGCTGCATGTCGGTATCAGGTCCGAGATATTTGTCACATATTTTCTGATATGTGTTCTTGAGGATCAGGTGATGTTGCGTATAGCTGATGAGAAATACAATCACGTTTTTGACTCTTTGAAAAAAGGTCATCTTGTTGGTATTACCAGTTCCCGTGATAGGAATGTATGATAGCGGCGACGGCGCGAATGCGAGGTGGCCTTCGGTAGCGATGATCCAGCGGACGTTGTATACCAGAGGGAGGTTCAAATATTTGGCCACAATGGCGCCCCCACCCCAGCAGGGGTCAGTGAGCAACAGGTCAAACTTGCTGTCATTCAGTTTCCTCATCATGTCTTGGTCCTCGAGAAGTGCCGTTGCGAACTCACTCACCGTCTTGTGAGCTTCCAGAAAAGCCCCAAACATGCCCACACTCATGTGGAGGAATGTCACAAAAGGCATCGAGCCCCTTTCATACTCGATGATTTCGTAAACCAAGCCGGTGATGAAGTTTTGGTCCAAGCTTCTTTCCACGGGAACGCTGATGGTGTTGTAGTAGGCAGCGGCGTCCTTGATGTACCACGTCTTGCTGGGCCGTACGATGGTCAGGTTGTGCCCTTGTGAGTGCAGCTCTTGAATAAGGATGTCCATGTTCACCCAGTGGCTGCCCTCAATTGGAAAGACCAGGATGTTGCCACACTGACAGGCTCGGGGAAGCAAAATGAAGAGCAGCAAGGCGCTGCAGCAAAACGTAGGCCTCATCTGCAAGAAAAGAGCAAAGCAAGCTAAGACCCAATCAAATCCCAGCTCAACCAACTGTGGGCATAGTACCGTGTCAATCAGGCAAATCAATCACTCGTGTCATTATGCGTTGTGCCTGTGACTAGCTGGTCAACTTGCAACTCCCACTTCAATTTCGCATTGACCACAGGCTTCATATTAGTCATTCCCCATGGTAGCAGTACGGTAATTGGTCTGCTTGTCTTTTCACACAGACATTGGCCAGCTACAAATAGCATGGGTTCCGTAAACATTAAGTGTAAACATCTATCCATCCTTAGTTAAGATAAATTGATGAACAAAAATAAGTTTAAAATAACAATCACCCCAAAAGAACCATAGACAGAAATGTAACGGGGTGCTAGCATCTATTCCTGACGGGGAAATACATGTTCCACTATGAAAAAAAAAAAAAGATCTATGTTTCTCTAATTCTCAGTCTGTCTGTGCGGACAAGTATCATACCAATGTAGTTACTCCCGGATTAAAAAATGGTATGCCCTGCTTGAGTTGACTTGCGGATGTTTTGATTTTAGTGCGTCCACGTATGTTTCAAATGTCCGATTGTTTCGGTGATCGTTGAAAGCACCCCGAGTCAACCCTGCAAACGCGACTGTTTTCTTTTGCTTTTCCACGCAGTTTTTGATCGTTGCATGCAAGCACATTTATGATTATGTTATTGTTCGTGCAAAATCTTGTTTATTAATCCGAAACTCCCCAAAACACAAACGTGTGTACTTCAAGTCTTCAAATAAATACAATCAAGTAATGTCACACCGCTTTTTTAACTCTATGTATTCGAGCTCCGGCGGCAGTCGACACTTTTTTCCCCCCCCCACAGGTAAAATTTGGCACATGAGCTGTGCCACATAGAACGGTGGTTGGGGATCACCGCCTTTAACAAATCTACAGGACTGACTGTAATCCAAAGTACAGTACAATGATAAACTCGACAGAGTCATTTTTTATGTGTCGCAAATTGTTTTTATTATTACAGTACATTATATACTCAGGAGCATTTAATTTCCGTTTCTTTCTGCTGTAACATTATATAAATTGTAAGGCTTGAGTCTCTTTTCAGGGAAGCGTACGTGATAAAACTGCGACTACGTAACTTTCCGCGTCCATTATTTGTACACAAAAGCAAACCCCAATGGATGCCACGGGAAACATGTCACTTACGTCTAAACGTTTCATACTTACTGCGCAGTTGTGTCGTTTTTTTCTTATCTTTCAGTCAACACCGTGCTTTCCGTGCGACGTTCAACGTAGTTTCGGCAGCATGGGAGAGGACGGCTTCGCTCAACTGCGTGGGCACACTTCGGAGGAGAGGAGAGGTCAGTGAAAAGCGTGTGTGTATACGGAGTTACTCATTTACATGGCCTCTGTGCGATTATTATGGTACCACTGAATGGTAATCTTCCTTTCGTCCATCAATTTGTCATCCTATCGCATCACCCATTCAGTCCCGCTTTCACTCATTGGTCTTCAAATTCCGCAAATGTACAGAAAAAATGTCTCCCCGTTTTCACGAATATTGAATTATGGACCGTCGAGGAGGGTGTTTGATGTTCATTTTCCTGCAATGTTGGTACCTGTACCATTTGAAATTTACAGGAAACATTACATAAGTGTAATATTAACGGCTGACGATACTGAGTCGTTTGCAGTTCGGGGTTTTTCCATTTAATAAATGGCTCGTTTGTTAATCCCGAGGAAGATAAAGTAGACCCAGATACTGACTATAAATGACTTTATGTACTTTGTCTCATTCAAATCTTATCTTAAATCTCCCCACACCCACTCTGTCGTCATCAGCACCCTACACCAAGTTAGCAAGGTCTAGTGGAGTGGTTCTTAACCTTTTTAGAGGTACCGAACCCAACCAGTAAATTTGCACATTCACCGAACCCTTAATCAGTGAAAAATAAATATATATTTATATATATATTTTACAAATTCAATATATTAAAAAACGCATTTATTGAAAAAGAAAAAAAGTAAATAAAATTTCAAGAGATAAGTTTACTTTCTTTTTTTTTAATTGTACCACGGCACGTACTTCACACGACAGTCACACATTGACTACAAAACGAACTAAATTTCCTACAGCACTGATTGGACAAGCAATGTCATGTGATCATCTGCAGCCAGTGATGGCCAAGTGGGCGTGTCATAACTAATTAACATGTTGAGTCGGTGTGTCTTACCCTCCATGGCAGAGGCTCCGTCGAACCCCTGAGACCGACTCACCGAACCCTGAGGTTCGATCGAACTCTGGTTAAGAACCATTGGACTAGTGTATCTTAGCTCTGGTCTCGATGCAGGACAACGAAATTAGAATTTTTTATTTTTTTTCAAAAAGGGTGTATTCGTAGTAAGTGATATAAAATAATGTATAATTCAAACTCAATTCAAAAACATTTCTGTGTGCAATCCTGAGACCTTTTGCGTACTCCCGAGGTGCCTGATCGCAGAGACGTTATTGTATTTCTTAACATGTTAAATCTGATGTTCATTCCTTAGTTGTTAAGCTTTTGTTTTGAAGGAGGGCGACAGTGCTGCTGGCGGTGGATTCCCGTAATGCAGTGTTATTGTTGGCTTGACTTCGTCTTTCCTTGTGGAGGCTGGCCTCACCTCAGTAAATTACTGAGAAAGAGAATGACACACAGAAAATGACACAGAAAATGACATTTCAATTGGCTTCAAACCTATATAATTTTTTTTTTTACTTTCCAGAGGGCCATGAAAACGTTCTAAAATTAAGATATCTTGGGTAATGAAGAAATCACAAGCTTTTTTACATCATGAATTAACCCCTTTTTTAATTGCAGTTAAGCATTTGGTGGTTGACACCATCACACCATGATGACACTGATTATTGGCATTATTATTTGACAATGTTTTTCAGTAAAATTTCCCCCATTTCAAGGAATTTGTTGAGCATTTTTTTTAAGCATAATTTGGCATTTGGAGCTATTTCAAGATGTATTTAAATGAATCACAAAGCACATTTAATTTAAAAAAATCTCATTTAGTACTGATTAATATTTGTTTACATGCTCTTCAGCATTTTCACAATTATTGATTTATTTCAGGAAATATGACCTCAAACAAGGTCTGCTTTCCACATGGAGGAAGGGATTCATAATTGCTCTTGTTCAGTTGTATAGCTTTAGGCTGAAATGTGTGCAGTGTGCGTGTGTGTGCGTACGTGCGTGCGTGTGAGTGTGTATGGGTGTGTGTGTGTGTGTGTCTGTGCCTGTATTTCAGGGGGTAAGGGGGTGGTGCTTTCTAGAGGCAAGAGGGGAGGCAGGAAGAGGAGAGAAGCTGTGAGCATCGCTTCTCTATTCACTGATGCCACTCAGAGACAGGTATGCTTTCACGCCGCGTTCATGCTACTATGATGCTCATCTTATGGGTTTTTTTTGGTTTGTTTTTTGTTTTTTTTTAATGATTCAAATGTTGCTCCTAAATGCAGCTTCATCTTCCGCAGCAACGATGCCTGAGCGCTGTATCTAAGACGATGCACAGAGCGAAGGGGGCGGCCGCCTCCTCTCTCGCAGTGCTGCTGTTGTTGCCGCTGCTGCACTGCTGCCACCTGTGCCACTCGCTGCGTAAGTTGCCTGTCGACACTGCCAACGTCTCAATAAATGCACAATCCAGTGGCGTGGTTGAACAGCGTCAGGGTACAGAAAGAAGCCGCTTACCGATGTTACACTAAGCCCATGCGGGAGACGGTGAGCGAGCACTGCCGTGATTATAAAAAATAAAATATTAAAAAAATAAAAAATGGCGAGTAATACAAATCCTCTCCTTAAAATATTTATTATTGCCAATATTGATCATAGATATACTGTACCACAAACTATGAGCCCCAAATCATGAAATTGTTCTCAGATGATTTGACTTTTTAAAAAAATGTACAATGCACATGCGGTGAAGACTCTCCGTAACTTCCAACTAAGAAGAAGCTCAACTTTTCTCCCCCCAACATACAAAAATCTCAGAACGTCAGTTCAGATGCATCATTTCAACATTCTCACCTTCAGGGGCGAGGTGGCCGTTGGAAATTCTTGTAAATCAGGTAAATTTTTCCCGAACGGCCGGTGTATTTCCGGGCCGGTCCTGGCCATCACGGCCGCTAGCAACCACCCCCCCCGAATCAGCAATTATGTTTCAGCACATGACGGCCGCACCCCATCGCCAACGATGTTTCCGCACCTGACGGTCCATCAACAAAAAAATTTCGGGACATGATAGCCGCACCAAGCCAACTGTAAACCACGCCCCCTCCCCCGCCATACTGTACTATGCTTGAAAGTAATATCTATGAGGAACAGATTTCAGAGCCAAAAAAAGGAGGCGCCTATTTTGGAGTAAGGTGTGTATTTATTCAACTCAATGAAGCACCAGGAATTAAATAGAGGCACGGCGTCCATTACAGTGGAGGCTTCTCTTCCCGGTGTCCTACTGTACAATTGTTTCCTCACAATTTGCCGGCCTTACATACAGCACACTCACTTGCTCCACTTTCAAATCAAACTTTTGATTGACTGAGTGCAGGGGAGGAGTTACAATCCATGTGATTGATTCATGTCAGTGTTATCAATATCATGAATTCTGGTCGTTTTTTTGTTTGTTTGTTTGTTTTAATAATAAAGCAGATAGCAGCAATGTCTCACCCTTAATTGGATGGCAGAGAGAACACCAATATCGATTTGGGAGTCTCAGCCAGGCGGAACGACCCTAATAGGAGGGGAGCTTGAAAAGATGATGAATGGGTGGATAACAGTCTCATTTATTAGGGGATTGCTTCTCCGCATCGATACCAGGCATTGCGAAGCGAGATCCTATAAATTGAGTGTGAAAGAAAAAAAAAGCCATCCGGCATTTGAAGATCCATGCAAAGGTCGGATGCAAAATTGACGATTCTTCTGCCCAGAGCCATCAGTGCTGGGAACCCAATGTCTGACACTCGAGCTTGCCCATACAAGCCCCGAGCTACTCTCAAGTATTTGGATGCACTGCTCCCTGTTCTGAAAATACTTCACACTTGATAGGGCAACAGTGAATGCCTCCTGCCATTTGTATGCAGACGGCGTCTAGCAAACCTTGATGCCAAAACTCCTCAAAGAATGCCTGCATGACGGAGCTCAATTAACGGTTCTCCTTCATTCTGTGAAACTGTAAAAATCATAGCTAATGTGAAAATAGCAAAACAAATTGTGGGGTTTTTATCGACCTCAGCTACCCACAAGTTGGAAGGTCACCTGATGGATTAAACCAATCCATCTGCTGTGGGAAAGGCTGCTTATAAATAAAATGACCCTCAAAGTACAACAACAAAAGAATCCAGGAAGTTTCCCACATTCGTTCATGGTGTCACAGCTGCAAAAAGGCACAGACATTTTTCCCGAAGTTTTCTCTCACTGAACTTGTTGTCTGCCCACAATCTGCCTCCACAGTTATGGCTGTTTTATCCCCATGTCCTGCAAGAAATTAACCAAAGGAATTAGAGCAGGAGTACAAAAGACAAGCAGGGGCCTGTTTCATGGGTCTGACAAAGTGGTTGCATAACCAGGATTGTGGGATCCAGTGCGTCCACTTTAGTTGTGTGGCACTGATAGCCCAGCAGCCATTGTGTCGCGGTTTTGTACTTCACCCGTGTGTCTGTATGTATATCGAGAATTGAGTCAAATATAACACCACGATTCTTTTACTGAGTTACTTTGGGTAATACTGTAGTAAATTTACCGAGACTCGGAGTGATGTCGTGAAACATTTGATGCTGACGAGCGGGGCCAGTCATCAATATCTCAGTTTTATCAGGGTTCAAAAGCAACGCTAGCAACCACCCCCCCCGAATCAGCAATTATGTTTCAGCACATGACGGCCGCACCCCATCGCCAACGATGTTTCCGCACCTGACGGTCCATCAACAAAAAAATTTCGGGACATGATAGCCGCACCAAGCCAACTGTAAACCACGCCCCCTCCCCCGCCATACTGTACTATGCTTGAAAGTAATATCTATTAGGAACAGATTTCAGAGCCAAAAAAAGGAGGCGCCTATTTTGGAGTAAGGTGTGTATTTATTCAACTCAATGAAGCACCAGGAATTAAATAGAGGCACGGCGTCCATTACAGTGGAGGCTTCTCTTCCCGGTGTCCTACTGTACAATTGTTTCCTCACAATTTGCCGGCCTTACATACAGCACACTCACTTGCTCCACTTTCAAATCAAACTTTTGATTGACTGAGTGCAGGGGAGGAGTTACAATCCATGTGATTGATTCATGTCAGTGTTATCAATAT